TCGAGGGCCTGACGCGTGATGTCCCCAGTCGGCCTTCTCAGTGCATGCCCAATCCATCTCCACTTCCTCCTGCATATTTGTTGCTTGATAGGTTCTTGGTTGGTTCGTTCCCAGAGTTCCTTGTTGCTTATTCTTTCTGGCCATCTGATCTTCAGCAGCGAGCGTAAGCAGTTGTTGATGAGTGTCTGTAGTTTGTTGGGAATCACTTTCGTAACGTGCCAAGTCTGTGAACCATACGGAAGCACTGACTTGACTGAATTGGTGTTGAAAATCCTTGTTCACGCTTTATTCTGAGTGCAGTGCAGAAGATCTCCACACTGGTTTCAGGCTAATGAACGCCTGTCTTGCTATCTTTCCGATCCTGGCTGGCTTTGATGTACTCGTCTGTGCCTGTGGTGCCACCTGTAGTTGAAACAGTGCTTCCTAGATAGGTGAAGGAGGTTACTTCCTTTAAGTTTCTCCCGTTGATAGTGACTGGAGTTTGTTGTTGTTGTTGTTGGAGTTGTTGATGTGGTATCTTCATCACTTCTGTCTTCTCTATGTTCACTTGAAGTCCCATCTTTGCTGCCTCTTCTGTCAACTTGTTAGTTTTCGCCTGTAGATCTTCAAGTTTATGTGACATCAGGCACAAGTCATCATTGGCGAAATCCAAGTCTTCTAGGTTGTTTTCCGCAATCCAGCCAGCGTATCCCCCTCTTCTCGCTGCCCACTGTTTGCTGCATGATCCAGTCGACCACAATCAGGAATATCATGGGGGATAGTAGACAACCTTGTTTCACTCCTGTCTTCACTTCAAAAGCACAGTCCATAATAAATACTACCTCTAATCAATTATTGTTTATTAAGCACTGTGCTACAACTGAACTACAACAATTAAATCTAACTATTGACACAGTAATTCATGAAATATTTTATTTATTAGCATTTCTTATTTTTGTAAGTGACTCCAACATGTTATCCTTAATTATTAGTTAGATGTAATAACGGTAGGGTTAGTTTTGTTTTTGTTGCCAGTAATTTGTGTATGAATATTGACAGAATAGTATTACACGTCTTTGCATCAGTAGCGATATTATATTCCGGTTTTTTTTCCCCGCCGATTCTTCTGTATGTACTTTCAAGAATAATGAAAAAATGGAAAGATAACTAAGAGATACTTCCTAACCGAAATATTATTTCAACTTTTTAGGTAATTCTATTCTATTTCTTTCATCTTTTCAAAAGTTAGAAATAGTAATAATGACCTTGTTGTTCATTTTGTTTGCCTGTAACTTTCTTTCTCATTCTTTATGATTATGTAAAATACTGGAGAATAGTTTTTTTTCACTGGTTCAATCTTTGTTTACAAATCAATATCAATTTTCTGAGAGAAAAAAAGCAACTTATTACTGCTTACCTATGATTTGACGTATGTTTTTAGTTAACCTCTGATATTATGTGTTTGCACATTATATTTGGCTTAATTTAAATAAGATGGTGTTGATATTTTTGTGGAGGGGGGGATGACCATTAATCAGTAAGTCATGGGTCCGAACCCCACCCTACCTACTGAAGTTTGACGAGCTAGGTAGTATCATTAGCCCTCACACAATAGATGTGACTCATCACCTACTGCATGCAATATGCACAAGGTTGTTGAGTGCATTTTGATTTTTCGCTTTGATGTCAATATTTCGGTTATTTAAGAGGATAAGGAACAGAAATTTGACTAGGTTACTAGTTACATATTGTAATTTATAGCTGACTGAATATGCTTCCTTGATTCAGAACCCATTATCTGAAAGTTGTTTGCCAGTTACTACCATATCTTTTTGTTATTTTTATGAGTCTGGTTCTTAACGCGATCTTGGTATCGATACAAGAGGCTAGCAGTTGGATATTGTTCAACTTCCACTCCCCATATTAAAAGCATTATATCCAGCTATGAATATACTACTCATCATTCTGTTCTCTTATTCTTGACAACTAAGAGTCATGACATGGTTGCAAATACACTGTACTGTTGATAATCTCTTAGTAAAATTCTCATTTATTGACCCATTCTATCAGCAGTTTTGACGCTAGGCAAAGAGATCCAGATAACTACTATGAATTTGTACTGACTTAGGTGTTTAGAATGTATTACACATACCTACTCACTCGAACGTATAGTAAGATTACGCTGGTGAGGAGCTAATATTGGTTAGATCAAAACATGACACTAGTCCATAAAGTTGCTCATAGTTGATCGGACCTGTATGAGGTAGTGTAAGTCATATAACTAAGATCCTTAAGATACTAGAAGACAATGGTCAATGACATGGTTCATAGTCGATCAAATTGCTGCTGTTTTTACTCTTATCTCAAACCTACGTGCCTTTAAGCCCATTTTCGCTATAATCCTTATGTATTCTTTGATATTTTTATTTCTGTTTATGCAAGATTTCCTGTTCTCATTTTGTAAAGTCAAGTAAAACTTAAGTTATGTATTCAGTTGCATTTAATCACATTGGGTGAATTTAACAAACCTGATTACTGAGTTGCACGAAGTTGTTTTAGCCTCGATTGTTTTCATTAGCTTCCGTCAGAAGTGACGTCAACTAGTGATGTTTGCCAGTGAGGGACGTCCACTGTCACTGTTCCTATTTAAATTTATTTTAGACGTACTAATGTTACCTGTGACTTCAAAGAAATTGGTCTACTCCCTAGAAGGCATGTGGTTGATTGAAAGTATGCAGACGATATTGTCCTGCTAGATGAAGAAGGTGACAAAGTGGAGGGTCTTTTGAATGCGTTGAGCGGATATCTGTGTATATTTAGCTTGCGTTTCTCTCGGAACTGTCGAATGTAAGATGATGCTCTAGAACTGGTCTGCTGTATATACTCCCAGTTTAGTGATAGGGAGTGATAGAGAAGTACAGAAGTTGTATCAGCCAGAATGGCTTGGTTGCTGATGGAATCTCTGTTCAGCTAGCTAGATAAGGTCTGTTTCACATTTGTCAACCTGGGTCATCTGTGGCTCTGACTAGCGAAATATTCGACTTCCTATCAAGGGAAGAGTATACTGCTCTGCAGTTCTTTGTGTCTTGTCCTGTTATACGGATATGGGATATGACCGTTGCCAAATCATCGCATACCTCGATATGCCATGATGAGCAAAGCTGGATTAGATTGGAAGAGGTTTCAGAGAGGTCAAATCAAAAGGTGGCACCACCAGTCAATGAAGTCTCTTGCTGTTTATTATGAGGAGATGAAGACTATCTGGTTGAGGTCCTCGAGACGATATGAATCAGTGGTTGAGATTTATTAAAGGCATGGCTAAAAATCGGTCACAATGGCGCAAATGTATTTACTCTTTGACATCTAAAGCTTGAATATTTGTACGTACCTTTCACTCTCAAATTCTTTTCCCTCCTGTACAATTTTGTTCGTTTTGATAATCAGTCTTTTCCTCTCCACTTGTTTTTTGTATGCTACTATGAAGTGTGGCAGTTTGATCAGATGCACTTGTCTGCTAGGTTCTACGTTGATTTTGCTTGTCTGTTAGCTTCTATCATATTCCTGTTATGTACTATTCTCATTTAGTGAATTCATAATGGATTTGAAAAGTGTTCAGTGTAGTTCACCAATTTTTTTCACGGTTAGTAATTTTTTCAATCATTTAACTAATGTCAACGATGCTTTCATTCCCCAACATCTAGTCTAAATCATCTCCTTCATTTATATTCTTAATTATGGTTGAATAATGCGCTAGAAGTCACACCTTGTAAAGTAAGGTAAATGGAATCTATTGGAAATCCTTTTGACACTGCACTCAAGGTTAGAAAAGCTACTCATCTTTAAGGAATATTTGGCTAAGCCTTACAGTAATGGTGATTTGCAAATTATCTATTGTTATATGCTTTTCCAGTTCATTAGAACACTAAATCTATTCGCTGAATATGCCCGCATAACTGGATAATTGGTTCAATAGTAGATAAAACAAATCACTATCCTATTGTTTTATTATTCTATATTTTATACAGAAATCAGCTGACAGTTGTCCTAAGGGACTTACCATGACAACACCAATTTGTCAAAGATACTGAGTGATTTTAAGGGCCGCTCTAACTCCTACCAACTGCCAATTAAGCTTCTTTGTTTTATGAGAGGGGCTACCTTCCCAGTCTAAATTTGGTTTGTCTGATTGGTTGTTTAAGCAGTTGATATGATGGCCTCTGAAATCACCCGTAATATTTACCAGAAAATTTAACGTTATCACTGTATAACAATAAATAAGTTTTTCAGTGTTATAGGAGGAATTGGAAAAGTTTCTAGAAGGTATATAGTAGTTACAAAGTATATCAACCTTGCTAAATACGTTGGTAAGTGAAGAATTCGCATAGAAAGAGTCGAAATTGTACTCAGTAACCACGTGCACATTCGTGCTGTAGGCAATAAACCACAGCTATTGTGTTAGGGCTAGTGATACTATCTGTCTGCCCAGACCTCAGTAGGTGGGGCAGAGCTCGAACCCGTGACCCATTGATTGGAAATTATCTCTCTGAATCAATGAGTCACAACTCCACGTCGAAGGAATACACTGCTTGTCTTTAATAGTGATATGATTTAATTGGTCAATTAGTTCGAATGTATCTTTCAAGGAAAACTCACAAACATAGAATTCAATAGTTGTACTAATATGTTGTTGAACGGCGGAGACAATGTTTGACATATTGCATTATTAGCTTTGTGTTTTAGCTAGTTCATATAGGTATGGAAAATCAGATCCTGTAGGTTTTAGATGACTAAATTCTTTTAATAAACGTAACAATAATTGGAATTATTGATATCCTTCCAGAAATCATTCTATTTCCTAATCCTCTTACAGCCCTTGAAGATTCCGTAATCTGTTTGACTAAACTTATAAACTAGTATGTGCAATGTCTTATTACTGAAGTTATTCAACAGTATATTCTGTCTACAAATTGCTAGTTTCTTGTTCTTCAATTTTACTCTTTCCACTCATTCACTTTTTTTAGGTTGCAGAACGTGCACTTTACTTTTGGAGTAATGATTACATACTTCAATTGATGCATGACCATGTTGAAGAAATTCTGCCAATCATGTTTCCTGCTCTATATCGGACAAAAGAGCACTGGAACAAGTGAGTCAGGTGTCTTACTTTGTTACAAGTTTTTCTTAAAATGATTGTTTTTGCTCACATTTCGCTATTTGATAAGATTTCTATCCTTTGTGAATGGAACCTTCGATAACTCTTAGGTAAACATGCACATACATACAGGATCAACATAAGACCAGGCGTTACTGCATAAGGGTTCAAGTTGTCACAACTCATATCAGCATATGATGTGATGAAAGCACGAAGATAACAGATAAAGAAATAGTGAATTAAGTAGTCAAAAGTGGTAGAAAGTTTTGGTAAGATAAAAAAGGGGAATAAAAATTTAGTATGACGACTAAGCTGAGGACAGCATGCGGCAGTGAGATCGATTCTGAGTCACAGCCCCAGCAGTCTCTAAACGCCGGTTTCTTTTGTCACGCGTACCGCAACCTGTAAATCCATATTTTCTTATGTGACTCGTAGCAATAGTCCTGGTGGAATGATGCCATGTTTTAGTCTGGTCACTTCTAGCCTTTTTCCAGGCTGAACTTCAACTACCATTGCCTAACAAGGCAGATGATGACTAGGCATGAGTAAACCATGTCTCAGCCACCCGAGCTGGTGAAGGTTCAAAACCTTATCGATTGGCTTTTCTTTCCTTACTAAAACTCTACGCTTGACTTCTAAGTTACTAACGCGGTGACACCACGATACACGGCGTGTGCTACGAAGCCGACAGTGGTCGAATACTTGAAGCCTTCTCATGTCCTCTACCTTCAACGGCTGCTTTGGTTGGCTAGAAACTCATCTCAAACATTCTCAAAAAACCACTCGATATGTCTATAAGACTCTGTGTCTTGTCAGTGTCTCCACGTAACACGACTATATATCATCTGTATACTCTAGATCTAACAAGGATTTTCTTGTTATAAGATTAGTCTCTGTTAAATCAGATAGACGATAGGGAAACCATTATACGTGTGTGTCTATAAAAGGTTATGGACACTGTGTTTAGAGAAATCAGTTTATATTTGACCTTATGGAAATGCTTATACACTGAGATAAATTGCATTGTACGAAGTTAATTCAGATAGTTGTTTCACTTCTGCATTTTTCTCCCTAATGGCCTATTGCCATTTTTAGTTATAACTGAGTGATTTACGTATTCCACTAGTTATCTTTTTGGATTAAACCATCAAACTTGGTTCCGCTTACTCTGGTTTCTATATTTGGATATTATTAACCTTTTCAGATTATGTAAAATTCTTTACTATGTATACAAATCTCTACTGAGCTGTCAGATAACTTTGTGACATTTATCTTTATTTTATGATGGCTAACAATACTACCTCGGAATCGAAACATGAGAATAGAATTTGTGCACTGTGATAGAGCATAATTCCATTATATAGCTCAATATCATATGATATGATAGATATATAAAACAGAACTATAAAAGGAACTGAAATTAATGTGAGTGTAGTGTATATTAAAACACAGGACTTTATTGGTCAACGATGTTGATCATTCAACCACAGTTTCTATATCGGCAGTATATTCAGAATAAGTTGCATATCTTGTTATCTTTGCAAACACACTGCAGTAAAAACAAATTTAGTTACAGTAGTAGTAAAGTAATACATATAACACTTACATAAAATAAGGATTCGTATTAAAAATACCGGTGTTTTCACAGAATGCTTAAAAGTCATATAAAATGCTAACAAAATGAAGACACTATTTATCAAGGCGTTTCTAGCAACGTGTGCACTTATACGTTTAAGAATTGTCCGAGTATTTTGTGTACTTGATCTGTTACTGTCACTAATATGATAAGCAACTAACTGAACTGAACACAAAAGAAGATATTGCCAACCTTTATTATTATTAGAATTACTTTTATGATAAGTGTATTTTGAAGTTAGCGGGGATTTTAATTTTGAGGTAGTATTCGTCAAGAACTGACGGCAGTTGGAGAAATAGATTGCTGTATAGTGCTCATTAGGGACATGCTTCCAAATAGATATCCCGAAGCCCTAATGAGAAGCCATGATCTATGGGGTCAACCAGTCGGAAGGGGAGCGGATGCCAACTGAAAACGTTGGACGATATACACACTATATTGCGAATTGACATAAGTGAACCATTGAACTCCGGTTCAGTGGCTGAATGGTTAATGCGTTTGATGTGAAACCTGAAAGTCGTTAGTTCGACCGCTAGCCGAGTCGTGGGTGCGCACTGTTTAAGGAGTCGCATGCTAGATGAAAACCTGGACCGCGGCCGGATTTTCATCTCACCTTCAATCATCACCCAGTAGAAATATTATTTGAGTGTTAACAAATCGTGTATCTGCACATATGATCAACTACGATCTTCACAGCGCTCTAAGTTAAATATAATCAGAGTGGCTGAAATTAGAAAAAACCCAGTTGCATAAAGGTGGTTAATTGCCTATCTCTCTCTGAAATGAAAGGAAGTAAAAATGCTGATTGATGACTGAAAAGAAAGTTTGTATAGTTAGCCACAGAATGTTGCTATAAAATGAATTTTTCAAGAGAGCATCCTTGGTGAATGAAATGTGCTTTATCAATATAAAGCTATTCAGTTTCTTTATCCCTTTTCCTTCACAAAAGTAGCTCTCGTGATTCAATAGTCCAGAGGGTAGTGCTTTGGCGATGAATGCTGGATTAAAATCTCAAATGGAAACATCATCACTGACTGGAATGCAGATCCACCTAGCCGACAGATCCCAAATAGAGCGAAGCATGCGTAATAGATGCCGCTGTTAGCCACCACCAAGCATATAATATTAAAATAAAACTTGAAGCATCTGTTGAAGGGAAGCCCGTAAGCCACGAGATATCAATCAATCCAACCCAGTATACTAATGAATTAATAAGATCATCATGATGGATAGTGGCTGACAGTAGAATCTAGGACGTACGTTCCACCCTACTTGACACTCGTCAGCTGGATATGCTTACCTCCCAGTGAATGACGTTTCCGCCAGGACTCGAACTCACAGCCAACCGCTTCAAATGCCTGAGGGTTATCCACTGGGTCACTAAGTCACGTTATCCACTCCCTGTGTGACGTGTATAGTATAGGTCCTATGTTGTGGTTTATTGTAAGTCTTGGTGGGAACAACACCAATCACTAGGAAACAGGCACATCCACCTGACGAGTCCCAAATAAGGTGAAATGCGCGTCCTGAATTCTACTCCTAGGCACTATCCATCAATAGTGTCTGCACTGGAAGTTCAGGCAACATCGAGGCATCCATACAGAAGACAATATACCGGAAATGACCGGTCACTTTGGTTCAATCAACGATTGAGACTAACAAATCATGAAATAAAAAACTAAAATCTACATCGCCATAATTTTTAATGATTTTATTTAGACTTACTGTTTGCACACTTCTTTCTGTAATGCGAAGTTATGCTTTTGATTACTGAATTTCACTGACTCTGTCTTAACTACTGGTTGGCAACGATTTAGTTGTGGAGCTGTGGTCCATTGGTCTTGGTCCTTGGTTGCCAACTTTTAGTTGGTCGTAGGTTCGAATCTAACCCTACCTTGCTAAGTTTTTGCCGTCAGGTTGTATCACTAGTCCCATCGCATAGTGGTGATTGAGTGGATTTCGATTTTGATTGGAATGATTTAATTTGACTGTGAACCTCATGTACTTATGTTTAGATAAGTGGTCATTTGACCAAGTCGACAACTGGTTGACTAGTTGAAAATCGAATAACTTTCATTCCTTGACTTAGTTGATTGTTTTATTAAAAGGAGATAACTTAATTCCGGAGCTGAATCTAAATATCTTCAAAAATATACCATAATGTTAACAGTGATCAATGAATTTAGTTCACTGTGTCAATCAATCATTGATTTCGGTATGCGTTGTAGTAACACTATATTGATACCAAGAGTTATTTTCACACATGTTTGTAAAGCATTGTATGAATAAAGGAAGAAAGATCGAAGATATATGGGAAATAATGATTTCATTTAAGAAAAAACTTTGACATACTAGATCCATCCAAAAACAGTGTGTTACTTGTCATCAGTAAGGAGGTGGAAAAAAAATTCCCTATGATCATCGCCACTTTCAGTTCTGAGCCATTCCTGCCAATGTTTAAGGGCAACGTGTTGCATGACTTCCTGTATCCCACTTAAAGTCCCAAATAGGGACAAAAAGCGCATTCTGGATTCTACTGCTACTATCCATCATTACTGCTTACATGGTGTTTCTAACAGATGCAAGGAATCCTACACGCAAAGTGATGGTTTAACAGACAAGATTGTCAAATCTTCACAGTTTAAAGACTCCATATTTTATGCGTATAGTGTTTAACGTAATTCATTTCTGTTTCCATGAGAACATTTCAATATTGATATTCTCTTCTCGTTTTCATCAGAACTATCCATGGTCTGGTGTACAATGCTTTAAAATTGTTCATGGAAATGAATCAAAAACTATTTGATACATGTACGCAACGGTATAAGGAAGAGAGGCAAAGGTCAGTTCAATTCTGTTTTTTTGTTTTTATTTTTCAGTAGCATATCATGACGTGTAAGCTTATTTACGTTCATAGATGTATTTTTTCTGATTCAGTGATTTAGATGTTGAATTGTTAAATTCCTCAGTTTTTACGTTTCACCGTAAGATATGTCCATATAATTTGAAGTATTTCACGAAGACTGTTTTTCAGGTTGATATCCATCATAGACTGACATCAGTTTAAAAAAAAAACATTGGAAACCTGGTATGGGACTCAGCTGTCTAGTGCTCCTAGGTTTCCAATGTTTCTTCAACTGAGATATCAGTCCATGATGAATACCAACTTGAAATCAATCAAAAAAATCCCCATACACCTCAAAAACCATACAAGGTATAAAGCGGTCAAAATCTATTGATTCTAGCGCTAAATCATTATCACAAAATCGCTGCACATTCATTTTATAACCTTTGTATCCGAGCAGCGGTTAAAGCCAGTTTCACGAAAACACTTCATTATTGTATAGGATACTGAACAACTAAAATATCTGCGAGTAATAAGTTTAAATGCTATAACTCTGCCGAATCCGTTAGTTTGTTTGATAATAACGAGGAGAGTAAGACTTTTTCATGTTTACAAACTTTCTCAACACATGGAAGAAAAATTCCAGAATATGATCCCCTCCGCCAAATAGTAAACTGCATGTACTACTTAAAATTATTGTCGAAAAAGGATATCATGATATACTATGCTAATGAAAATCAAATATGTTTATGTAGTTTGGTAACCAATATGTTTCTTGAAGCTTTCCTTATTATTTACTCGTGCGTAGTAGTACACTTGCTTACTGCTGAAATATATGTGTAAGCTTCAATGCTTCTTCTCGAGAGTTTTAAACCTCTTATGTCACTGAAGTCACTTGAGAGTTTCATGGCTTTGAAGTCTAAATGGTTCTCAGCTTGAACATTCTCATGGAATTGGCACTTAACTTTGAATGTTATCACTTATTTTAGTGTTCTGAAACAACTTTAAGTAAAACCAGCTTGCTAACACTCATATGTTTAACGAGGCTCCTACATATACTTCATAGGGACTAATAACCCTGTTAGCACTCACATAATTGAGATCGGTCCCAATATTTTTTTGTTTATATATGTTATTGCACAAAACTTGAAAGCGAAAACTTGAGCGAATGATTTTTATTTACACTGTGCTGATCAAAAAACCGTTTGTAGTGATCACTTTTCTATATAAATACCCTGTACGATCCTTAACAGAGCTGATAAATTTCTGCTGAATAAGACGGAAACAACATATCGAGGAGAATAACGTGAATCAAACAAAAATTTTGTGTTCATCCTCACTTAGATACCCTCATTTATACAGTTAGATGCATTCTAAACTCACATCAGATTTCTTCATTGTGTCATTGTGTCTTGGTAACTAGGAGCGGAATCCAGAATGCGCGTTTCATTTCATTTGGGACTCATCAGCCGAATGTACCAGCACCCCAGTGAGTGACATTGTTCCCATTGAAACTTGAACCTAGCACCTATCCCTTCAAACGCCAAAGTCTAGTTGGCTAGTGGATAACGCCCTAGTGTTTGAATCGAAGGGTGCTGGGTTCGAGTCTCAATGGGGACAATGTCACTCGCTCGGGGTGCTGGTACATTCGGCTGACTAGTCCCATGTAAGACGAAACGCACACTGGATTCCACTGCCAATCACCAAGAAGGATACAATATAATGAATATATATTAGTTTGGGTTTCTGTATCGTGGCTTACTCTTAAGAAATGTTACTGTAACTAAGTTGATGTACGATTTTCTCTCGAATAACCGTTATGCATACAGATGTCGCGAAGAAGCTAAACGTCGTGAACGCGTATGGGCTACATTACACGAAACTGCGAGAAGTAACCCTTTGTATGCTATTGTAATGAGGGAAGCATCCAGTTCAAATCAACATTTGCCCACTTCAACACCCCTTAATTCAGCGTCATCATCATCTGCTATGGGTGGCTACTGTGTAAATAATGGGACTGCATCTTCTAGTAATGCTGCTCAAAATGATGATAGTCAACCCTGCCCAGATGAAGATATTAGCGGTTCTCTGATGAATCTTCAACGTGAAGCCGAGGATGATGTAAGTAGTATGCAATAATGCACTTTTATTTCTCGTTTTTATATGTTATACACAAATATGTCCAATTATATGCCAGATAATTATCTCTTCTGATATTCAATTGTTCATGAAATTCATTGGAACAATTTATAATGACAAAGTTTATCTGTAACCTCGAGTACTTCATCACAACTTTCATTCATGCAGTCTATTTTGTGATTATCACCAATAGGTAGGATGGAGAGAGAGAGTTTTACTCTAATTTTCGCCTAACCTCGTCTTCGTGTACGTCCTTATCCAAGAACCTGGAGAATCGGTCTCTTAATCGAGCAGGAAACATCATTGTAGCATATCCACATTAAAATGAATACCCCTGCCAAAGCTCTCTATTAACGCTTCCTCGAAACTGATCAATGTAACCCTGAATCTCTCCCAACTATCGGGCTTCTACTCATCCACATTCGTCGGGTAGTTGAATCGTTTGACCGTACTCACCTCGCCACGGGAAGGTGTGCGTGGGATACGTCTCACTGAAACTTCTCAATCTTGCAGAAGAGATTCAGATCACTTTCCCGGAGGATTACCCCACTCTCACCAACTGAGCTGGGTCTGTGGAGCTCGTTGACAGCACTTACAGTCAACTCTGATGGTGAATTGGTTGATATTCAGCGGGGCCACGTGGAGGTTCACCGTCATCGCGTAACTAGTCTCGACCAGTAATTACCGGTTCACACATTATCTCCGACTTTCCTGACCAACAGCGCAAACACCAACACCATGTAACGGTGTCGTTGACACCCTGGCATGTAACTGTGGCGGGGCATTTGGCCACCTTCGAGAGCCACAGTTATTCGCAGTCGGTACAATTTCTTGAGTGTAAGAGATTCTGTCGATTACCCTTTGAGTTATAGCAATATGTGTAACAGAGAGTCATTTGTGTATCTTATCTGAGTCATTTTTGGGGTTATTTCAAGGAATACAACCCTACATCAACTTTGTATATGAGTAATAATAATGGTTTTATCTAGCGGCAAATTCAACTTTAACTGGTTAAATCATTTAATATTTTTTCAATGCACTTCTTATATGTGTGTTTTCAGTTAGAAATTCAAGGAATAATTCATGAACGACGTCGTGATAGGCTTACCATGATTCAACGAAAATCTGAACTTCCTCATAGTCAGACAACTATCCGTGCTCTTGAACAACATCGTCGTCCAGATGAATACTTGAAGACACAACCTGATAACTAATAGAACAAAACAATAAGATAGTATAAAATTCAGTAAAAGAGAATATTTTCTTAGTAGTTCTTGGCTGAATATCCCGGTCTCCCCTATGTTCAATTACACACTCACACATGCATATATATACACTCATATACATGTGCATTATACTTACTTCTATTGTTGTTGAGATTTGAGAGGTGTGTGTGTTATTCCTATCAGTTTACGGGTTTTTCTACTTGTGTTAACAGATGAATGTTTTTTTCATCGTTGCGTATTGTGTTTAACCTTCTCAAGTGGGCTCTTTTGAGTTCCAACTTTTTCACACTCAAAACTTCATAGTTTACCCTGCTCACCCGTAGCACCCAAATAACAACTTTGTTTCTTTTTCTTTCGGTCTTCGAAATAAAAATGTATTTTGTTGAAAAGCAAGTCTATTTTATTACTGTGCATTCTGTAATCAGAGAAAATTTTCGCCTACTCATTTCTTCCTGATTCACTGTTTACACATAAACACACACGTACATATATGCTTGTTTACATTGGGTTATGTCGTCTATTTTCGGTGTGGTAATAGCACTTAGTAAAAGAGGAGCAAAACAGTATTTATTCTTAGGAATTTTCCCTGCTCATTCTACCTACAACAAACGTTCTTCATTTTGCCATTCTGTTTCAAAATTTTATAGTTTCATCGTTTACCGTTTCGCTTAAATGTGTGTTCTGGGTATGCAGTTGTTGTATTTTACCGTGGTGAACAGCCGAACTTATTTTGGTCATTATATGTATACGCCTAACTTGTACTACTATTACTTCTAGTGTTAGTAGTATTTACTTCCAAGCAATATAGTTTTCACACATTTTTGTCTAATTTACCGTTTCTTATTTTCATCTCTGTTATTTGACTGTCGTTACGAAAGGTATACGACTGGCGTATACGTGAACGTACACACAAATCAACACTTGAAAGCTAGTCACGAGTTACCAGTTTTTATTGTTTTTGATACTCTTTCGTCGTTGAAAGGTGATCCTACTGGTACAATCCTTATAGTACTCCTGTTATTATTATTATTGTTATTAGTAGTTATGTTGTTTCTCAGGTCTCTAGTTCCCCGTGACATCTCTATTGCCCAAGCATACTAATAAATACATTTGATGCAAAGAATGTGATTTTCTTCTATCTTCTCTCTCTTCCTCCTTTTTGCTTCTCTTTGACGGTGTGCAGGCATTGCTCAGCTTTGTAGCCTTCTTTTATTATCTTTCGTTATCATTTTAACATTGTCCACGTGTTTTCTGTTCAGTCCAGTTTTTCCTTTTTGTAAAGCCACATTGTGGTGTTTATTACTGTAGGAAGATAAATTGTTATCAGTGGATGTCGTGATTGTCAGCAAATTGTTTTCACTATCTTTTCTCTCTGTAACGAACTACATTCACCTCATACATGTGTAATAATCATTTTTTTATTCAAGTAAATAGATAAATAAATATATATGCGTATATATTTACAATTTGTTTATTTGTTGTAACGATCGATTGTTTACGCGAAATTACAGAACGATGCCAGTGTTTATGGACACGTGTAAGCATTCAGTATTATCATTCCGTTCCTCTGTACAAAATACCGGTTTGCTTTTTTTTCACTTTTCCTGTTCATCTGTTTGTGTCCTCAGTAGTGAATTATTTGGTGAATAACTGCACTGTTTGTTGTTCTCTCTTCATTTCTGTTCAATTTTATCATAAAATGCTTTAAATAACTATACCCTATTGGACTTCATGCCTTATTAAGTGGAGTTCCTTACAAAATGTAGTCTACTACCTAAGCAACGCTTTTAATTTATTTAGTGGATTTTTCTTGCATGGAGGCATTTAACTTCTAACTGACCGATTACGGGCTTCAACCCCATTCCACCTGACTCGGTGTTGACAACTAGGGAGTATCATTAGTTGTTACACATTAGTTGTAACTCATTGCTTATTGCACGAGTGTGCATATAGTCATTGTATGCATTTCGATCTTTCTTGTCAGTTGAATTCCTAATTCTTGCTTTGAAACTGGTTAACACAAGCGTTTACTTTCACAAACCAAGGTAAAACCTCGCACACAAATGAATCCGATCAAATTGCCACACTTCACAGCAGCACAAAAAGAACAGGTGAATAGAAGAAGACTGATTATCACAACAGACAATCTGAAGACAATGGCCAGTGCAAATATTCACGCTTTAGATGTCAAAGAATAAATACATTTGCGCCATTGTGACCGATTTTTAGCCATGCCTTTAATAGGTCTCAACCACTGATTCATATCGTCTTGAGGACCTCAACCAGATAGTCTTCATCTCCTCATAATAAACAGCAAGAGACTTCATTGACTGGTGGTGCCAACTTTTGATTTGACCTCTCTGAAACCTCTTCCAATCTAATCCAGCTTTGCTCATCATGGCATATCGAGGTATGCGATGACTTGGTAACGGTCATATCCCATATCCGTTATCAGCGTCCCATACTTTTCGGTGATGGTTTTACGTGCCATTGTCTTGTCAGTATTCTTCATAAACCTGAATAGTTGGCGAATGTTACCCAACGACGATGCCTTCGCCACCGAACACTGCTTGCGATGATTCTTGTTCAACTTACGTTTGAGTTGCTTTCGCTCTTCCTTGCAGTTAGACCCAGCTGGAGTCAGTCATTTCGGATAACGTTTGTTAACCTTCGGTTATAGTTTACCAATTGTCTTTACTAATGTTTCTTTACAGCAGACGAAATATCACGCCAGGTTTCTTCAGATAAATGCTTAGCTAAGTACACTGACCACTTAACTGATGTGTCTATGGTGAACACACTTTCAATACGTATATTGTAAGCTAGTTTTCGTATTGGTTTGCGCTATTTGTAATCCCGGTGACATGCCATTTTTATTACTTAAAATAGTAATTGTAACTTTTTTCAAAAGTTTTCATTGCAGTTAAGAATTCCCAGCATATTACATTGAAAAAAAATGGTACCCCTTTTTAATATTTGCAGTAGTAAAGATAGATAGTGGCTAACAGTGGAATCCATGATGCACATTTGGGACTCGTCAGCTGGATGTACCTGCCTGCCTCCCAGTGAGTGATGTCCCCACCGGGACTCGGGAGCGATCGCTTCAGACGCCAGGACGTTATCTACCGAGGTACGATAGCCACTTCTTTACTGTAACTAGATCACAGGTATATTGAGGCATCCGTACAGGATCCCATATGCCAATAGAGACCGATCAATCCGGTCCATTCAACGACGGTATAATAAAAGCAATAAGACTGTTTACAGTAGTGTTAATTATTGCAATTTAAATTTAATAAGTAATGAAAACGTCTCTATGTGTGAGTGGCTGAAATATTTTTAAGAAATGATCATCCACTGTTACAAAGTTCTTAAGTAAGCTCTGACGTAACACTTTTCTTCACACAAGATGCCTGTTAGATAAGGCACAGTTAAATTCTTGTATTTATCTGTGCGAGTATAAATTCCTATATATTTGTTTGTTAAAATGATGGGAAAGATTTGTAGGTTAGGATGAGGAAGATGATGGTTTGGTGTTCTCAAAGAACATCGCAATTGTTTTTTGCCTTGACTGAGGAAATAAAAAGGGTGGGGGGGAGAACTGAGTGCACAGTGAGTACTGCTGATCAGAATGTATATAAGTAGCATATATTGAGAGGACCGAAGAAATCATAGACAATTACCATCAATGAGTAAAGATTCTGCCCAGAGAAACGCAAGATGCAGTGTGGGCGTTTTAAGAGTTTAATCAAGATAGAAGCAGAAGAAGAAGAAATGAAGTACATTATGCAAATGACTGTCTTAGTGTAAGGTGTACCATATTTGATGACTGTTGTACAAGATGTCAATAATGAACCTTCCCTCCTGCGTCTCAGTCTTCTCGTTTCCTACAAGTGTACTGATCAGGATTATAAATTGAGAAGATTCATATGTTCTTACAATTATGCAAGATAGTTTCTTTTTTCTCAACCAGCTGAATTTATCTCCAGTGTGTCTTCGAGAATATCGATGTCTACGTTATTATGATGAAATGTATTTCTTGTAGGACTGGTTTATATTTGCATGTCAAGAATCACTTTGCTGAAATTTAACCTGTCAACATAGTTTTAATCGCAAGAAATTGTTTAATTTCCTGAAATTTATTGATTTCATCTACTTGTCTTGGACTTAATATTTTGTTCATTCATTCAAGACTCGTCGTTATTTTAGTTATTTAGAAGCAGTATTTCAGTTTTAAAATCCTAATTTTCACCAGCGATCATTTTGTGATACTTCTAAAGCCATAATATCTAAGGATTTCAATCAGTCATGGAGAGCTACTTCATCTGATTAATCTATCATATTTCAAATAATGAGTAAACAGTTCCAGCCTTCAATCTATTTTTCGCGCTGTAACAACCGAGTGGTATAACTCGTCCCCTCAAAGTAAATATGATTCATTCTCTAGTATATGAACCTGATGTATTCTTGTGGTAGATATATATCTATATATATATACTCTTGAACAATTACCCTTGACAGACGGTTTCTGGAAAAAATAGTAAAAAAAGGCAAAAACGATAAAGGTTTATTGTCAAGTCAAACATGTATAAAAAGTAGCGGTTTATTTACATTTTGATGATCATGAAAAGTTCTACGGTCTTCTAGAAAGTCTCAGAGACAATCTGAGATTCACATGTACGATCACGTGGTTTCTCACGAACATTCGGCATGTCACGATTGGCTGTTAGAAGCTTTCCAGGAATTTTCGATAAATCCGAGAAATATCGTTGCATTTCCTAGCAGAACCCTAGATACCTTTAGTAGTTCTCTAAGTCTGATTTTAGTGTTGTGTACCTATTGATGATAATTTCCGGCATACAATTTATTTAAGTGTAACCGTGTGCTCTCCTTATCACATTACTGAAGATAATCTTATTACTACTGTTCGATATTAGTTTACTGTGTAGTGAACAACAATTTAAGTGCTTTGCTAGATTAATACAGGATTCTACTGGCTGTCTGTTTGTATATCTCCACACAATTCGCATTGAAGTTAGTGTTGAAGATGTCGTCTAGAAAGACGATGAAGGCTCCACGAGTAAACAACTCAGCTCAGAGAACACAATACAACCAACGAAAGGGTTCTTGTTCTCAGTTCTGAACATATCCTGAATAAGGATCGACGGGGTTTAAGTGACGTAATTGCTCAGTATTTGCATGACACTGGACATAATATCGAAACATTGGAATCCTTCAAAATGATCAATCAACAACTAAAATCCAATCTTTTGCGTTTTACCGAAGCAGTTGTAATTTTAAAAAATCTGATCTATGTATTCACGAAGATACTGTTGTTAATTTTGCCCTACCTTGATAAATTTTTCATTTCCTATATTTGTAAATACAAAATTCCATGACCTGATGACTCTCTGTTATTTCATTTTATCTTTTGGTCTATTTCAAAGCCTACTGCAACTTTCTGAGTTGTATTCATCTTATTGGTATGATAACCTTTTATCACGTTTATTTATTCATGATATCATTTCTTGACGGTTTTAACCTCCTCCCAATTTCTCAAGAATATCAAATTTCACTAATTCTTGTTACCCTACTTCTTTTTCATCTTTCACTTCAATCAAAATATTCTTGTGGATTTGAGGGTTTGTGGGAATTCATTTATTCAGGTTGGTATTCACTATGGACTGAAACCAGTTGGGGAAACAATGGAAATCTGGGATTACTGTTCCATCCCAGTATGTGGCTTCTCAGCGGCGCACACCTACGACCCTGCTGGGAGTCGGACATGGGACCTATAGGTCCCGTAGCCAGCCCGTTACCATCGAGCAACTGGGTTGGTATCCAATGGTCCACATTTCCTACTTCTTTAAAATCATGGTATGGCACAACCCTCATCCAATGCCTTCTTTCAGTAACTGTCTTCACGTCTAACTTGTTTGGTCCCGCCGGTCACGACTTCTTGGAACTTCGGGAACCACCTCTTGAAACTAGTTATCATCCTGAAATGAATCAATAAATCCCTATAAACCTCCAAAATGAATTAATCCAGCGGCTGTTAGAGCCTTGCTTTGAGATGTGATTCTTGAAGTTCCAATGATAAGTCGTGACCGGTGGGACAAACCAAGTCAGATATGAGGACAGTTACTTGAAGAAAGCATTGGATGGAGGTCTCGCTTTACACTGTTAAAAGAAGTAGGAAATGTGTACCGCTGGATACCGACCTTTTGGCTCATTAGTAACGTGCTGGCCGCGGAACCTGAAGGCCCCCTGCGTTCGATCCTAGGCAGGGTCGTTAGTGCGCACTGCTGAGGAATCCCATACTTCGACAAGATATCTCTCCGGTGCTTCTAGGTTACCACTGTTTCTCCAACTGATGTCATTCCATGGTGAATACCAACCAGAAATGCAAACATTCTTCTCAATTTATGAAAGGACGTTGTATGCCTTATTTTTTGTCAAAAAAAATCATGTTGCATAGCAGCTGAGAAGAACCCACGGAATATATCCATACTTGTTCTGCTACCGGTTTCTCATTTGGGTTATTCAAACCAGAAAAAATTGACAACTAGTTTTCGTACACCGAATTGTCGATTAAGTCCAAATCATGATACCTGGAAATATCAGATTCATTAATATACTTAAGTCGATAAAAAAGCTTTTCCAGAAAAGTATCGAAATAGTTGATGTATGGAATGTCGATTCCGTAAGTG